GCAACATGCTCGTTCATACTAGCATAATGTTAAAACCTGTTAACGGTAATGCTGATTCATGCTAGCAACATGTCAAACATGGTAGAAATATGTTAGCATCATGCTAATTCATGTTAACCATGTGGTAAAACATGACAGAAACATGTTTGCAACATGTTAGCATAGAGTTAAAACGTGCTAATTAATGCTAGCAAACATTCTTAATGGTGTTAAAAAATGCGAATTCATGCTAGCATCGTGTTAATTCATGCTAGCAACATGCTTGAAGATGCTAAGTCATGTTATTGACTTTCTCGGAGTAAAACTTTCGAACTTTTAGTTATTTGAAACTTTTAGACCTGGTTATGTGAATATTCAGTATTAAATGAGTAATTTGCGCGTGTTTCTCGTAGCGTTTCAGCACATGAACTCCAAGAGGAAGGCCGAGACGTGGAAGAGAAACCGGAGGCAGCTGGTCAGTGTTAGCGACGGCTTCATTAGCATGTTCACAGCACACCGGAAGTGATGCGTTATGTTGCTCCGCCTCTTTCAGGCCTTCTCCACGGTGGGAACGCCGGACTACATCGCGCCGGAGGTCTTCATGCAGACCGGATACAACAAGCTCTGCGATTGGTGGAGTCTGGGCGTCATCATGTTCGAGATGCTGATTGGTAAGAAGTTAAATTTATGCAAATGAGATCGCGAACCGTCAGAATCGCTCGGAATATAAATTAAAAATATTAGCAAATCAGATCATTGCGACGTTGTTTCAGCGTCATACTTTTCGTACAGTTTTTTTTTTTTTGACATTTCAGCGTTGATTCGTAAGTGTTTTGTGAGCCTTTTTTCGAACTATTTAACATTTAAAAATGTTGAAATACAGCTGACGTTATTTCGAACCCTCACTATCCTGAGAAATCAGCCAATCAGAAAAGAGTCTAACGAGCATCGTTAGTTTTTGCAGGTTAGCAGAGGCTAGCTAGGTAACGCTGGCTAACGTAGCTAGCTGCTTAGCGTCAGTTACTGCGTGGCACTGTAGCATTTAGATCATAAAATAAGTAGCGTTTTCTGATAAGGAATACAAAAAGATTTTTAAAATTGTAAAAAATTGATTACGCATTAAACGTAATGTACATGATCTTGTAACTTTGTATTATTCAGGTGTTTTCAAAATGTTTTTTTCCTAAGAATACAAAATTAATAGCTCTTATATATTTTTTAATGGACAATTATTAAATAATAAAATTATTTATAAGAATACTCATCTTTCGTTCTTTAAGTCTTTACAGAAAATTGTGCATTGCATTGAAATGTTAGCAATGTTAATAATATTAAATTGCATCAAGAAGAAAAACAATTAATTAAAATGAGTGGTTTAAAATAAACTATATCAAGAAAGAAAAATATTTTAATAAATTAATTCTTCAAAATAACTTGCACCACAAAGGAAGAATTATTTAAAAAAAAAAATTAATAAATTAAATTAATGCTTTAAAATGAATTGCATCAAGAAGGAAAAATGCAATTTTAAATATTAAAATAAAGTAAATAAAAAACTTAATTGCATGAAGAAGGAAAAATAATTTTATAAAGAAATTAACTTTATGCTTCAAAATAAATTACATGAAGTTGGAAAAATAATTTTTAATTATTAAAATAAATGAAATTAATGCTGCAAAAAAATTAGGTTGAGAAGGAAAAAATTTAATTGAAATTATTAAAATCATTACATTAATGCTTCAAAATAAAATCCATCAAGAAGGAAAAAAAATATTTTAATTATTAAAATAAACGGATTAAATAAATCCTTCAACATAAATGACGTCAAATTTTAATTATTAGTATAAATGAGTGCTTTTTATTAAATTAAAGCACCACTAAGACACTGGCCGATCACTACGTGTGTGTGTGTGTGTGTGTGTGTGTGTGTGTGTCTGTCTGTC